GATTTCTAGAAAACCAGTTTTCGAGAAACTCCAAAAACTCTCCAAAACTTTTCTTAATAAGTTAAAATTGTAGCACGCGAAATTCTGATCAAAATGAGACATTGCCCACCTCTACATGACATTTCTTTGCAAAGTTATGGAATTTACAAGAAAAGCCCTAAATGTTCATTGTCAGCTCAAAGCTACAGAAATAAGAAGGAAGAAATTGATCAAGGCTTTTCTTGTAAATTCTGTAACTTTGCAAAGAACTGTCACGTAGAGGTGGGCAATGTCTCATTTTGATCAGAATTTCGCACGCTACAATTTTAACTTATTAAGAAAAGTTTTGGAGAGTTTTTGGAGTTTCTCGAAAACTGGTTTTCTAGAAATCCGATCTTCGGAGGCCTAGCGGCCCGCCTCATGTTAGTATTCGGAATCAGCACATTCGATTACCTATTGTTCACTAAGTTTTAAGCTAGAAGCGATTTATCACTTGGTGTCCTTTCCTCGTCAGAGTCAGCGCCTCGAGTTCTTGTAGAAACTCAATGATCTTCGTACAATCGACTCTGGGAAGCTGCTTTGCGAAACGGAAAACCGCTGAGAAAGCCACTTTTACCGCTAAGAGCCAGGCTGGAGTAGTTTTGCTTGAAAGAGCCAAGTTTCTTCTAGTGACTATTTTTTTTTCTTCTTTTTATGTTGAAAAAGAAGTTTTTAAAAGTGGAGACTTTATTTGGACCTTAAAAAGTCCCCTTTTAACGGTTTTTGTTTTTAAAAACTTCTTTTGCGACATAAAAATTTCAAAACTCTATCAGTCACTAGAAGAAACTGGCTCTTTCAAGCAAAACTGCTCCTGGTTCCTTAGCGTTAAAAATGGCTTTCTCAGCCGGTTTTCCGCTTCGCAAAGCAGCTTCGCAGAGTCGATTGTACGAAGCTCATCGAAGTGAGTTTCTACAAGAATTCGAGGCGCTGACTCTGAATATCGCATCACAGGGATTTTCACGATTTCCCTTGCACAAAAAATTTGCGAAAATCTAATCTCAAATCTTTTCCTGTTTTTCGCTATCTGTTTCTGTTCGCTTCTATTTCTGTTACAACAGGAGCAGGTGCATGTCTATTGTACTCTGTAGTCACATTTGTTCAACAGAAACGGAAAAAAATATATTTTGAATGAAACTTATGCGATAAGAAAACTCTTGAGGCTTCTATTGTATTATAAATTTTGAAGAATAGTAATAAATTAAAAAAAATTTAAGGGCTAGCTCTCAGGCTGATTTGCTATCTGTCATTCTTACTAAAAACCTCCAAAATCGTAGATTTTTGGAAAACGACATATCTCAGTCTATAGGCAATGTCGCATTCAGTATAGCAGCAAGGACTAGTTTCTGACAAAAGTTTTAAAGTCTACAAAATGAGTAAAATGATTGAATAGCATTTTGATTTTGAAAGAAAATTAATTCAAAACATATACGACACGGTTGGAAAGAAAAACTTAGCCGGCAAAGTTTCGCATTAGCCAGACAGCCCGTTTAGTTGATTATGTAATGCTGAGTTTTCTACACTCTAAAAAAAAAGCGTCGTGTACAAAACTCAAAGGGTTTACTAATGGGTTTAGGAAACGTTATTAAACCCGTTAGAGTATTTGAGTCGTTCTTAAAAACCTACAAGTTTTTGTGAAGGGTTTATTAGTCTTACTGAACCTTAGGGTTCATTAAAGTACGGTTTTGCGAAACAATTTGGGTTTTTTCTTAAGATTGAATGGTTTCGCGAAGGGGGTAAAAAATCCTTAGGGTTTTCTTTGTCTAGAAAAACTCAATAGAGTGTTTTACTAAACCCTTGTGGTTTTTCATTCAACCTTGTAGGGTTTTTGAGTTTACTAAACTCTGGGGTTTAGCATCCAAAGGTTTTTACAATTTCGTCAACAAGTATATTGGTTTTTCATTCCTCCAAATCATCCGAAACCCTAGAATGTAGAAGGTTTCTCCGTAAATATTTTTATCGTAGAAAGCGAATTAAGTCAATTTTTTAGTGTTAGTCAGTGGAACAAGCTCGATATTATCTGTTGCTTAATACGTCTGACTTAGTGCACAAGTTTGTCGGACTTCTATTTTTCTAGCATAATAGAAGTCATTCACAAGCATGAAAAGAAAACTACGATTAAAAAACTACAAATGATGTAACTATATATATGACAAAAAGAGAGAATATATAGATCCCTGGAAGTAGTATACTACTTCTAGGGATCTATATAATCTACGCTCTTAGATATCTTAATAATGAAGAGAAAACAGTCAATTTTTCTCCTGTCTAAGTAGGTAAGGAAATTGCATATATATATGTGCAACAAAAGTATAGATTTCCCTTGAGTTCGATCCTATTTAAGACGGCTAAGTATGAATATTCTTACAAAACCGTGGGGGAAAGATCTGAGGCCTCAACAACAGCGTATGAAATGCTTGAGTTTTTCACAAAATTGACGTCAACAATATTAAAGAGAGGCCATTTGCAGGTGTTCACAACCCTCTCCTAAACCTCTTTTTGAGGGTTTAGAAAAGTGTCCCAATCAGCTACCCAAATAGGTATTGTAGGTGTCAACAACCCTCTCTTAAACCTTTTTTTAAGGATTTATTACCCGTCAAAAAAAGGTTTTAGTAGGGGTTTTTTGACATCTAGGATACCCCTCCTTGCAGCATTTTACAAAATCAGACAGGGTAGCTGATTGGGACACTTTTCTAAACCCTTTTAGGTTTTGTACACGACGCTTTTTTTTTAGAGTGTACCCGTTCAAATAAATGACCAGTTGATTTCCCTCTTCCACTAACCCTGCACTCCGGATCCTCACTTCAAATCGGAAACAACTTTATGGCCACCGAAGACCTCTCTCGTAGAAAGGTTTGTCGCTCCCAAAAACAAGATGCCTTCCTACCTGCTCTTGTTGATTTTGTGATTGACTAGAAGCGCAGTGGATATTTCCACCATATTCATGCAGTATCGACGAAGGCAAATCTTTTGGATTAATTTCCAAATTAATCAACGAAGGACATGGCGACTGTGAAGTTGAGTGTAATTCTTTTTTCACTGTCGATCCAGAAGTAGTACTCTGTTTTCGACGTTTTTTATTACTACTTCGACTACTATTTCCTGTACTATTACTATTATTTTTTGCCAGTTGTGAAGACTGTGTCTTTAAAACTGATTCCTTTCTTTTCTTTGTTCCAACCTTTTCCCATGCATTCTCATTTGCACTATTGCCATCTTCATCTTCCCCGCTACCACCATTCTCTCGTCCATCACCACTTGTAATCGCACAAACCGGTTTCATATCGTGTGTCAGATAAACGTGTGGCATTTTCTGATCAGGAAACTCATTTTCATCGATCACCGTGCCCGTTTCACTTTCATTACCGCCGCCGTCGCTCGTTGTTAAACTTTCATTCCCTTTATCGGAAAAACTTCCTGTTGCCGTTGTTCGATTCACACCACCTGAAGTCTGATTCATGAGTGTTTGCGGCGCGAGTTCATTGATTTTCACTAGAAAAAACAAAGAGGATGGATTAATAATTTAAAGTCGCGTCAGAAGATAAACGCACACAGAGAAAGGTAGAGAGAGGATAGAAAAACCGGGAACGTTAGCAGCATTTTGTTTTTTCTTGCTCTAAAAGCTATACACTAAGTGAAGCATATATAATTTTGATGAAAAAAGTACCTCTACCCTGGTTTTTGAGTAAGCGTTGAAAGGAGACGTTCTTTTTCGCTCAACCCTTTGAACAGTACAAAAGGAGTACGTCACACCATATTCACAAACAAGCATGCGTTAAAACGATAAGTGTAGTAATAAAAATCATAAAAATAAAAAACTATCCAGTCCAAAAGGAGTACAACAGCAATTAATTAGGAAGAGTTGCTGTTAACATGAACTAACATGCAGATAAGTATTTATGCTATATGCATTGGGTCATTCGGACATGACGTCGTCAACAATCGAGACGGCGGAAAACCCTACTGAATAGATTCTATACGGGTTCGCCATAACTAAGTTCATTTTCGTCATATTGATAAACACGGTCAAGGTCGAATTCTAAGACCTCGGTAGCACTAAAAAGCGAAACTCCTCACTATGCACCTTTTTGTGATATTGTGTTCTTGCTTAACGAAATGATGTACATAATCGCGAAAAACGAGTTAAGATGATTCAAAAAAATTCTTTGTGTCTATCGGAAGTAGGTCCGAAACCGCGAAAAAGAGAAAAGCACTTTCGCGGTCATAGTACTAAGCTGAAATTATCCCGAAATTTTTCGAATTTCCGAAACTGAACCAAGAATAGCGCAGAGAAGGAGTGAAAAAATGGCTTAAATAGGTTGCATTTAATTTACTTGTATGATATTAGAGAAATTAGAATTACACTCCCCTCTTTATAATCGTATAAATCCGTTAATCACAAGAGGAGTTTCACAAAATATAATGCGGATATTTTGCAGCATATAAGTTATGATTGGTTTTTAGAGAATTTTTCTCATATCGAAGACTCAGAAGTTTAGAAATAGTCGAACCCTAAGCATAGTGTCCAATATCTCCCTGCAATCCTTCATAAGAACTTCTTAAAAGAACGAAAATACTGTGCGATCAGACTATTGGATCGAAGCTTGAGGGGAGGAGGGCGGAAAAAGAAACTGATCAATGGATTGTAGATCCGGATTCGGTAGCAGTCTTTTTTTTGCATTTATTTACGCTGTACAGAACGCAAAACTTTTCTCGCTTGAACTCTAGATGCGTTCTCCATTTAAGAGGTGAACGAACTGCAACTTCGGACAGGCATCCATCGGCCTTTTTACCCTGCGTTATCCAAATAACACTCTGTCATTCTGTTCATATTTTTTTTCTAGAACAATTACAAGCCATTAAAGAATATCCATTCTGGTGTTGGTTTTGTCTTAATACAGAAACAAATTCAGCTCCATTAAATCCTTTTATGCCACCATCACAAGACAAGTAAGTAACGCGCCCTTCTTTTTTTTTGTCTCCCTTGACAACAAAATCTAAAACTTTTTCTTTTCATTTCGAAAATTTAGTAATAGTCTGAGAATGTGCAGTGATTGTCCAGAATTTGTTATGAAAGCATGGGAATAGACAGGTGTCTGACTAGTGCACGAAAATAAAACAGTGAATGTCTTACAACAGTGTTAGCTTCTTTTTTTCCTATGTGTTGAACTGTTTTGGAAAGTATACTTTTTTTTTCTCTTGGCGTGATACTTTCTTTTTTTTACTGTGATATCCTTTTTATTTTTTATTTTTTATTTACGTGTACCTCTCTCTGTCTCTCGTCGTCTTTCTTTTTTTATTCCTTTGTTTTACACTCACGGAGCAACAACAAAGCATTCTCGGATGATCTGATCCTTTTGTTTTTTTTATAAAAGGAAGAATAAACAGACAAAATAATTTTTCAAATTCGTAGATATAAGTGTGATATGAGACAAAAAATGAAATCGGTTGTAGTTGTTTTAGAAAAAAAAGAATAAGGATCGACGAAAAAACAAAATTTATTTTGAAAGTAAGCGAGAAAAAAAGTCTTTTACTAAGTTTTACGTCTCGTCAAATGTCGATACACGACTACTTGAATGTATCGATCAGATTTAATTTCTTTACGAACCGTATTGTCTCCAAAAGAGGTTTCCTGCAAGAGTGAGAAAAGACAGTTAGTCAGTATTTTTAAAAAGCTGAACGAAAAACACATACTTTTGGATTGACAACAATTATTTTACGATCTCTTTTGCTTTTAAATAACAGACCGTCTAAGTGATTCGTAATCAAATGGAAATTGGGAGTGTTATTTGAGCAAGAACTTTGATTTTCCCTATTATAATAACTAAATACAGTGAGAGAGAAAAGAGACGAATTACTGAAAATTATATTTCAACAGCGTGTTCCATGATAAAGTTGGTTTAGACTAACTTAGCCTTCTAATAAACCGATTGATTTGAGACTAGGTTGTTTTTTCTGATCTCTCAAAAGTCTTTTGTATGCTATCAGAAATAGGGTTCAAAAAAAAATGCAGTTTTTGGTCCCTAACACTTGGGAAAATTTGACTTTTTAGAAAAATGCAGTGAACGAAACTCGTTTTGAAACACAGATTCGGAATCAGAATAAAATTCATTCCTTTTTTAGAGAAAAAAAATCGAGTCTTTAACTGAAAGTTTAAAATTTTGAAAAAAAATTAAAACTCTTGAACAATAAATCACAGAAACTTCATTCAAACGCAATTAGAAAGAAAATCGAATTCTAAACAATTGTAGGAATTTGACGAGTCTCAGTTAGGTTTTTAAAGTAGTTTCTGGGGTCCAAAACACTTTGTAGCTGAAATTTTCAAAACATTTATAACCGCTCCAAAAATCTGACATTTTTATCAAAGGCACTGAATTCGAATATCGGTGGATAGAGCTTACGAAGGTGTATGGATGCGCACACTTTGGAATTTCGTTGTAGAAATTTTTGAAAGTTGTCAACCGATTGAGGAGCCAGATTTGAGAATTCTCCAACTGTGGACCATAAACGTGTCATATCGCTTCAGTTCGAAAGCTAAGTGACTTTCTTCCAAAAAACAAAAACGCTTTTTAGGGTTTTTGTTCGCAAAAACTTTTCCTCTTACCTTACTATATATTATTCAAGAGTCGTTTAGAATTTGGAAAAAAGTTGAAAATTTAGATTTTAAACTTCAAGTAAAAAATCATACGTTCTATCGCAATGACCACCATTTCACGCTGGTTTCGAATCTATGCTTTACAAAGA